CTAGACAGGAGGACGATTAGGGTCCTCAACCAAAGCCTTTGGCCCAAAAGCCTAACCGCAAGGCAGCGGTGTTTGGCGGGAAATGCAAATGCATTGCCATTTCTACGGAATAAGTCGCCACGTGTCCCAACCCCCAACCTGGAGGGCCAGGAGACTGTGTTCGTCAGACCTCTAGCCATTGACCAACCTGGTGTGAGAGACTCTGTGGTGTCGCGGGNGTCACAAGTGCATTTTAATGATTGTGATTGTGCAAATGGAGGCAATTCAAACTACGGCTGGCCACGTTACCCTAAACGAGTGTACTCTGAGTTTCTCTCCTCAGTGACATATAACCTTCCGGGGTTATCTAAAGCTGGCTATTAAGATTGGGGTCTGTGAATCCATTTGACGTCATGAACGTTGCTGAAATTTAGGCCTGCAATGGTGCCTCAAGTAAACGTTTGTGATGACACTGCAGTTACAAAACTAACGCGCCGAGAAAGCACGTTCTAGGTTCATCGTATGAGTGGTACAGACGACACACTCTGTGGTTTTCAGAACATTTAGTTATCTCCAGAGGAATGTACAGTAACACATTGGCTTTGAAACCATGACGATTTCATCCTGAAGGCATGACCAAGGCTCTAGGTTAAGTAGTGGGTAAAAGAGTTTGGCGGTTTGAGCACGCTACTCAGTGCAAACCTCATGTGGGATTACGTGCCTTAGATGGTGGTCTAATTGCGTAGTTTGGCTGACAATCAAATCCAGAAATGAATATCAGATCACTGTTGATTACGTTGAAAATCTAAATGGCTGGATAACTCTTAGCGATGGACAGTGAATTCATATTAGCCATTAAATTTTCCCGAGAAATCGGGTTAGCGCTGATGTGATGGTCAAAACTGAAGCCTCAATAAAATTTTCTCAATTGCAACAACGAATATGGTGGCTCAGTTAGGTGAATGTTCGTCCACCAAACCCAATTTACACCTTCACGTTATTCATCTGGCTCGAACACTGGTCTGCCCTGTTTTTGCTCTAAGCAAGGCCCACAAACGTTCTTTACGAAACCATCAATAAACTTAATTCACTAGAACAATGATGAACTTTTTGTGCGTTATCGCAAACTGCTACAAGCAAAAAAACAATATTGGTTTTCCGTACCTTATTTCATCCCCAAAGTGCCTACAGTAACCAGTGAAGTTTGAACGTTCAGTCCACGACTGCCACTTAGTTATTCAAAATAAAGCTGTTTCAAATATAGGTACTGTACTCCATATTTTCACAACAGCGGAACAATATTTCATCAACAATATGGTTAAATTTGGCACCACTCCTAATTCACACAAAATAAACACCATGAGAACAACCACAGCTCCAAATATATTGTTTCATGGAATGATCGGAGAACGAAATTGCCATTCAAATATGAATATTGTTTAAAGTTCAGTCGGTTACCTGGCCTGATGTAGCCTATTCATGTCTTTGATTATCAGGGATCTAGCTGATCATAACTTGGTGGTGGGGCACTGGGCTCCACCCTTGGGCGTTCAAAACATTGTGCATGACCGAAAGTACAAAATTGGGTGGTAGGTCGCCTATTTTCCGACGAATCTGAGACAGGGCAAACGCAATTTTGATTGGCCAGTTGGCAGTTGCTCAACAAGGGAAGAAACTGTTGCAAGATGTTCGATTTGTCCGACTGGTCATCATCACCTGGTTTTCGCGTCAAAGCAATCAGCAGATTCACAATAAGCCGATTCTGTTGTTTTCGACACGGGCAAATTACGTTTGAGCTAGAGCAACAAACATAAGGATATTGGTACATGTCAGCAATATCTGACTGCTTTTTACGGACAGTCGATCCATTGGAGATCGATAACACGGTTGAGTTTAGTTTGGGCAATATCAGTTCAGGTTGATTATAGTCAATCACTGAGTCTTTCTGTGAGTGAAATGCATCAGTAAAATAATCACAATTTGTGAGAGGATGATTGGGAGGAAACAATTTTGATGGATTACACATCTCTGCGGTGTCGACGGGAGGGCTGACATTTGTCTGGATACAATCTGAAGTCCTTGAGGCATTGTGCAAATAGCCTGGCGGATATTTAGACAATGGAGCATATAGATTGTATTCATCACCTTCAACTTCATGTACACTTCCTAGTGTAGGTTCTTTAATCACAGATCGTCTGCAAAATATGCGGACCAGCTGTCTGCGTTTAAATCTGTCAATAAATGCTAGCAACATCAGTAGTAAGGCTACGATAAAACCAGTGGCACAAAGGACTCCCGAGAGAAATGCAATAGTCCAGGCTTTGTCCCAACGCTTTTGTACGAGATATTTAAGTTCTGTCCATCGCTCATTTAAACCTTTTCCGAATCGAAGCCAGCCTGCACTGTTCCACGCCTGAACCCAACGGGGAAGTTGAAATCCTCGGGAAAGAGGGTTTATGCCTGAATCAACCTCAGAATTGATGGTCTCTGTAGATGCATGTGCTACGGGCCATGTAGTCTGATTTGACTGATATTTTGTCCACCAAAACGGAGCTAACCATGCCCACCACTGTAGTTCCTCATCGCATTGTGGGTTGCTGGTAAAATCCCACTTGGATCTCAGTTTTTCCACTTCACTTAGAACTCGCTTGAATTCTACACTATAGGCCTGTCCGGGCAGGTTGAAGTTACGGTGTTCGTCCGGCGAAATCCAGCGAAGCCAAGTCAGGTGTGTCCATATCTCAGACAGCCTGTGATTTGCCAGGTGTTTCAGACTATTCGACTGGCCAGACTCTTGCGGATGTGTACACCTGGTCCACAGTTTATCCTCATCGAAGTTGCTTGTCGTGGCACACCAGTACCCGATCCATGGTGGGTAGATTGATTCAAGCCCACTGGATGTAGTTAGCCCTGGTAAACATGTCGTGATATTGCGACGCCGCGCTGTCCCAACCCAATGAAAGTCCGCTGTTAAAAGGGGTAGCGTGGCTTGGAATGGAAAGTGACATTGGAACCCGGGATCGTTGCCACCTTCTGTCAATGAGCTCGAAGGACCACCCACCAATGCACTTGGGCATTCGCGTAACTGGTTGAGCTCTGTGTGACAAACCCAATGACCAGCAAAAGGCTGGCACTCGTGGTCCACGTCTTGCACAAGTCCACCCACTTTAACGGTGTGCTTGGTGAAATGGCACGGAAGTTGGTGGGCATGTTGAGATCGACATCTGGTCCAAAAGCGATCCTTGTCAAAATTGGGAGTAGTGGCGCACCACCAGTAACCACTTCTTCCATCATCCACGGGAACAGGATCATCTGGTCGCTGAAAACGCAACTCTCCACCCTCACGTATACATGTGTGATAAATCCGCTTCTGATGAATAAACGGAAAATGGCAGTCACGTCCAGGCTGGTTTCCGCCGTAGGTAGTTGGCGTTTCTGGACAAATACGCCATTCAGGATAGTGATCGAAATTGTCTGTGAGTGAACACCACCATATTCCACGATTTTGTTGATTTGGTGCCAATTGAAAAGGCTCGGTCGGAACGGAAACTAGCGAGTTTTGACATTCGTACATTGCCGTGCGCCGATGAACGGTGGGAAATATGCATGGCTTTTGTCCTGGCTCTGAGTTCTGTCGGTATTCTTTGGGACGCCAAGCCCATGTGCAACCCACAGAAGTCAGAAGTGCCAGAAGAATCACATCCAGCTGCATTCTTCATTGTGCTTGGCGTGTTTCATTTAAAAACAAGCTGTTATGAGGAATAAATCTAAATTCCAATATGACAGGAATTGGTTTATATAGAGCAACCAACCACACCAGAGAATGAAACTAACCTATCCAAAGACATTTGCCCCTGATTGGTCAGTTTATACCATGGTCCTGGATAAGATTGGTCGAAAAGGTAACAAAGGTATGCACAAAGGGAGTCAAACCGAAGTACACGTGTTTTATCAGCACTCTGATAAACGAAAACTACCCTCTATTTTCACACATAAAGAGGACAGTAATTCACAAAAGAATTGACAATAGCAAAACGGTTCACATAAATTAAAGATG